GGTTCTAATGATAGAGCTTGTGGCAAATGCTAAAGCTTTGATAGACATGATGCCTTCACTTGTGGGTTGCATGGAAAGTGACATCATAGTTAAGCATCAGAGCCCCCTTTCCCTGGCAGTTCCCCCCCACACCCAGTAAGAGGTGATGGACAAAGAACTATGAGGATGAGAGCTTTTCTGCTGAACTCTACCTAACCCAAGAGCAAAAGGCTGCTGGGAAATGATGGCTAATGTGGTATCCTTTCATGTTAATATAGCATTCCCCTTTGTTCCAGAAGTATTTCTCTTAAACAATGTGATATATGTTCTCAAATGATATCAAGTATTTAATCTTGAGTTAATTACAACTGGCTGTTTAGACTTTGCTAGGCATATAGAATCAACAGGTTGTCCCTAGATAGACAGGAAGGTCATAAAATCCCTTGAAACATTGTGATTTACTATAGAACATGATATAAAGTAATGGTAGGTGATATATGTGTGTATGCATAGATTATTATCTTCCAAATTAAGGAAAATAGAAAAAAAATCTCCAGGGTTTTCTGGGGGCAGAGCCAAGGCGTTGGTCTTCCTGTCCCTCAGGATCCTGTATTCAGTCTTCATTGTTCACTCAGCTTACCCACCCGCCCTGTTTAGATTGGGCTTTGCTGGTCAGGAAGTGAAATTCGCTGCTAGCTCTAATTGGCCTGGAGCTGGGGGTGTTTTTGCCTTCTTCAATTTGTGCACAGTAGTCTTGGGACACTGGCAGGTTGGAGCCATTAATTCGGTGATCATATGGCAGGTAGGAGATAGGAATTGCTCAGGTGGGGAGCACCAGGTAGCAGACACCCCCTTGATGGGGGGGGCTTTCTTGCAACAACCATCTGGCAGGAGAATCCCTCAGCGGCATTATGCTAGCGGCCTTTGAGACCCCCTGCCTGTGTCATTCCTCAAGTTCTGCAGCTTGAGGTGGGCTCCATCAAGGGGCAAATCGCATGCTGAGCTGCCTGGAAACAGCCATGCAATTTTTGGTCTGCGTGAGGGGCTCAATACTCATCTAGTTTGGTATAGGAAGGGAACATGTTCAGATCTCTGAGCCTCTACTTTCATAGTTTGGCCCTTGCTGTTTATTCGCTGCCCATAGTTATCCCAACAACAGTCTGTCTCGTTATTTCCGACTATGGGGGCAATAAAAAAATGTTGTTCTTAAAGGTACCACTGGACTTGGATTTTGTTAGGTTGAAGGAAGTTCAGGAACATTTCATTCCTTAAGTAATTTTTAAAAATCACCATATTTTCACTCCTGACACTTGTCGTGTTTGTATGAAAAGGGAACCAGAAAGAGAAGACTTAATAAAAAGAAGAAGAGAAGAAGAAGATATTGGATTTATACCCCGCCCTTCACTTGGAGTCTCAGAGCGGCTTTCAAACTCCTTTCCCTTCCCCTCCCCACAACAGACACCCTGTGAGGTGGTTGGGGCTGAGAGAGCTCTGACACAAACTGCTCTTTCAGCAACAGCTGTGCCAGAGCTTGTGACTGACACAAGGTCACATCAGCAGGTGCAAGTGGAGGAGTGGGGAATCAAACCCAGTTCTCCCAGATTAGAGTCCGCACACTTAACCACTACACCAAACTGGCTCTACAATCTAAATCTAAAAAGGGTAAAGCCGCAAGAAAACTTCTTCCCAGTTGAAAATTCTTAGTTAAAAGCCATCTGAAAAAGGAATGCTTTAGCATGATACATTAAAAAAAAATCAAGGCTAGGCCTATAAACAAAAGTCCAGTGACACATGTTTAATCTTGCTGAAACTGATTTCACATACCTCTGGCTCTATTGGAAGAAAAATTCCTTAAGTGGGCTGTCACCATAGAAAAGACCTTCTCTCTTGTAGCTACATATCTTAGTGATACAGTGTCGTGCCCAGGGATGGTTGGAGCCAAAGGTCAACAGGGACAGCTGCCCCGAGTCCTAAAAGTCCAGTGACACATGTTTAATCTTGCTGAAACTGATTTCACATACCTCTGGCTCTATTGGAAGAAAAATTCCTTAAGTGGGCTGTCACCATAGAAAAGACCTTCTCTCTTGTAGCTACATATCTTAGTGATATAGTGGTGTGCCCAGGGATGGTTGGAGCCAAAGGTCAACAGGGACAGCTGCCCCGAGTCCTAAACTTGGGGTGGTAACCACCCACAGCCCTACTCCTCCATGGAGAGAGGAGGAGGTAGGAGGAGGAGGTTGGTCCTGCATTGGGCAGGGGGTTGGACTAGATGATCTTTATGGCCCCTTCCAACTCCATGATTCTATGAGAAGGAGGAGAAGCTCCTGCTACCACTGAACCTGGCCCAAAAATCTTGTGCACAGCTAGCTTCCAGTGGCAGCAGTGACTCCAACCCACCTTGCATTAGCTGAGGGCCTCCCTTTGCTTGGCTATGCCAGGGTGGTGGTGGGTGGTGCAGGCGGTGATTCTGGGGGCCCATCTTGATTCTGGGGGCCCATTTTTGTCCAGAGCCCCCAGAGTCATTAAGACTGTCCTGGATGTGCCAAATCATAGATCTCTGGATATTTGGCTTAAGAAAATTAGAACAAGGAGGAGGAGAGAGATGTTGATTAACAACAACTATGGAAGAATAATGCATCTTACTTTCCAGGACTCGAGGATTTCTTTCCACATGATGGTGGTTTTGAGAAGCTAACCTTTCCGTGTTGGCAAAAGCATTCAGTCTTCTTGACAATGGAGGTATTATGTGTGGGTCAAATCTGCTTGGAATTTATGTGCAATACTCATCCCTGTTAATGCCATGATTGCCTCAAAGAAGTTATCCTTCAGTAAGTAATCCTTAATGGAAGTATGAAATGGCTGAAATAGGTAGTATTCACATGTGCGAGATAATGTGGGGGGGGGGAAGTGAGGCTATTTGTTTCACAGGAATTTGACCCGCATTTGTGCAATCACACAGTCCCTGGGAGCTGCGGGGGCAGCCCGCCACAGCATGATCAGATACAACCGCAGGTGAGTTGGGTTTTTTTTTGGCTCTGTATTTCCAGTGCACTTCAACGAGGGATCAATGATTCGCATCTCCGCACCGAGTGCTCCCTATGCAGTGTGCAATGATGTGCATACTAAAATGGGTGGGGGGGACAACGTCATAGAGTCGGGATGGTCTGATCAGACCATCCTGATGCCATGGAAGCATCCTGGAGCAATCACACTGGGGAAAGTCTGCTCCTGGCCTGTCGTAAACCCGTTTGCTATTGGGTTTCCCCCAGCGTCTTTTTACTCTGCTTCTGCAATGGAGAAAAATGGGTTGCTGATGAGAGTGGGACGCTTGGCATATGTTGGCGTCTGATCATGCCCTTAAAATCCACCCAGCATTTGGGCCTATGGTGCGGCTAATTCTGTGTGAGGGGGTGAAGGGAAGGGAGACAGAAGGTGGGAGGACTGTCCATCAGCCTCTGGCACTGCTGCTGCTGCTCATTGGGCGGCTTTAGCAGTACTTGGAGATGAGAACCTTGCTCACCGGGGTCAGGAACTTGTCCAGGGATACCAACATGTCGGTGGTCAGCTGGTCAGCTGGCTGTGGTAGTGGCTGGTGATGGTCACCAGAAGGCAGTGCATCAAGTACTTGAAGTTGATGGGGTTGATGCACAGTCATGGATGAGGATGAGCTAAAATAGCCTGCAGAAACCACAGCTGGCCCCTCTGAATCAGCAGAGGAGGAGAGCTGGCAAGTGCCTGTAACAACAGTCTCCACACCTGGCCCAGATAAGAAGGAAGAAGTGTAAGCTGAAAGTCCTCTTGACTCACCCCCACATCTACAATAGGTACTTTCCAGGATCCATGCAAGCTCATTGGCCCACGTTAGGATCCATCTAGTCCATTGTCTCTAGACCCGAATGTCTGTCCAAACTCATGGCTTTGCTAGTGCTCGTGTGGCCATAATAGCACACAACAAGATTAATACAATAAAACCAGTTAAAAACAGTTAAAGTGGGCAGTGCAGGAAATTTCAATTTTCAGTTCCTATAGCCAGGAATGAATGGACTGAAGCCAAGTCATAAAGGTCTCATTAAGAGCAGCCTACTGCAACAGCAACAGGGAAGCCAGCTGGGAGGCCCAGAAGAACAGCCCCATTTTGCAGGCCCTGTGAAACTGTAACAGTTCCTGCAGGGCCCTGGTCTCAGTCAGGAGCATGTTCCACCAGGCCAGCACCAGGGCTGAGTAAGCCCTGGCCTTGGTTGGGGCTAGGCGAACATCTTTTGTGCCGGGGACAACCAGGAGATAGTTATACACAGAGCGCAAGGCTCTCCTGGGCACATATGGGGAAAAGTGATCCCTTAGATATGTCGGTCTCAGGCTATATAAGGCTTTAAATGTTAGCACTAGCACCTTGAAGCAGATCCGGTACTCAATTGGTAGCCAGTGCAATTGGCGGAGCACTGACTGGATGTGCACTGGTACAGATGTGGCAGTCAGCAGGCACACCACCACATTCTGCACCAGTGTTGGGACCCTCAAGAATTTCCTCATCATCCACAAGTCAATATCCCCTGCCCTTTCCTCATTCGTGCTTCATGAAAGAGAAGAGACTAGAAGGTGAACTGTTTTCTGCTGCTGACTTCACAGTTCCACACTAGAATGTAGGAGAATTGTAGCAGTTTAGAAATTAAATAAAAAAGTAGTTGGACAATAGAAGTCACAGCACTTCTCATGTGGACTTTTGATAGGGATCCCCCAAAATGAAGAGCAAAGCATCTTCTTATAAACAACTGAACTCATTGACGCAAATGTCCAAATTTCCTTTAACTTCAAGAGACCTAAAATCTGTGTTTTGGATTCTGTATGCCTCTACTGGGGGATCCTTTGAAACACCAAGAGACAATATGTGCCAAGGAATGGCTGAGCTCCAATGGAAAATGGCACAACTGATCATTTACATAGTGCACAGAGTACTTGTAAGACTCACCAGCACATCTTCAACAATATCTTATATTAAAACTAAAAAACAAGTAGTTGGCAGATATCCTTTTATTAGGTGGAAATGGGAAAGGAGGGCACCACAGGTTCCTGCAGGAGATTAATGGTAGCAGAGAGCTAGGGCATGGGCCACGACGCAGACTAACTTGAGGAAGGCATCGTGGGTGGCAGGAGTGAAGTCGTTGCTGAAGTGGGAGACCAGAGCAATGATAAGGACATCACCCAGAAGCTTGACGTTGTCAGGGTCCACGGGCAGCTAGTCACAGTGCAGCTCTCATGAGTGGATTCAGGACCCAGGGGTACACAACCAACAAGTCAGAAATGGATGAAGCATCAATTACCCCCACAAAGCCTCCGGGCAATATGTCGGTGGTGATCTGCGTCTCTTCATCCATCCAGTACATCATGGTTGACTGCTGGTCATCAGGAGCTCTGCTTCTCTGTTTTGGAAAAGTATCGAACTCTCAAGCAGGAAATCGTGACACCATAAAACACAAGCACACCACTACTGCTTCACTCACACAGAAGTCCACCATTCATCAAGAAATCTATTTGGTAGCCTATGTACCATGTGTGACACTTGCAATCGAACTTTGATCAAAACCTGAACATGTTCTACTTTCACCAAAAACTCAGGCACTTGGAAAACAGGTTGAGAAAGACTGCTCTGTTGTTCAAAATGCAGCTATCAGTGGAACAGCAACGTCAGCTGGGAGTCTGCTTCTGATCTCTCGGCCTAGAAACGTCACTGTGTCCCAGCCCTGTTTTGTTTTGTCTGGGGGGGAATCAGAAGGTGATTCCAGATGATCTTTTAAAAGTCTAGTGTTTTCCATCCTTGCTAGAATGCAGAAAACTTCCCAGTCTCCCAGGCAGGCGGCAAAGAAAAGTACCCATCCACTGATCCCTGATCAGCTGAGAATCAGCTTCTGTTTTTCATCCCCTCCAGAATATACTGCAACATTCCAGGAAAGTTGGGTACAGTGAAGTTGTAAATCTAAAGTCCTTGGCTACGGATTGCTATCTTTGATCTGCGCATGCCTTTCTGGGTCAGTTTGATACTGGGGAGGATTGAAAAGGGGATCACAAGTTCAGTTCCAGGTGGAGCAGTTGGGAGTGGGCTTCTGATGCATACAGGGATATTCTTAGCTGATGGGCAGCCTTGGACTCCATGCTAGTGAAGGAACTGCCCAGGGTCCACTCCTCCATGGAGGGAGGAAAAAATAAATCAGGCTCCCACCACTGCCCCTTGTACCCACCCTATCTGGGGCTCAAACAACCAGTTTCTGCAGGTGGCTCCCACCCTCCTCATGTGGGGGTGAGAGTCACTTCTTCCAGGGCCCTAACAGGACAAGTCAGTGTGGGAGCTGGTATATGTGGCAGTGATTCTGTGTCCCCACTCTAGACTTTTGTCCATGGTCGGTTGCATGTCAAAATCTGAATCCTCCCTCCACCCCCAAAGCATTGCTGCATGTCAGCAAGACAGGGACAGAGAGACATTGGGGCAGGGGGAGCTGGGAGTCCAAATGCCCTCCCATTTCCTGCACTACCCAGCTGAGAAGCAGTGAGCCAAGCCAATATGGGATGGAAAGTGTACCACCAAGTAGGAGACTTGGCTTTTCCCCAAGTCCCCCAAAGTCAGGAATTTTAATTTGCAGATCATCATTTTTAAAAAAAGCTTACTATGGATTTCTATAGGTGATTAAATGACGGTAGAACTAGCATGACTCACTGATGTATTTTGGCCCTAACCCCATCCAATTTTTAAAAAAATTTCATCCACCACGGCCCCTTGTAGCCACCCCATCTGGGGCTCAAACAACCAGTTTCTGCAGGTGGCTCCCACCCTCCTCATGTGGGGGTGAGAGTCACTTCTTCCAGGGCCCTAACAGGACAAGTCAGTGTGGGAGCTGGTATATGTGGCAGTGATTCTCTGTCCCCACTCTAGACTTTTGTTCATGGTCGGTTGCATGTCAAAATCTGAATCCTCCCTCCACCCCCAAAGCATTGCTGCATGTCAGCAAGACAGGGACAGAGAGACATTGGGGCAGGGGGAGCTGGGAGTCCAAATGCCCTCCCATTTCCTGCACTACCCAGCTGAGAAGCAGTGAGCCAAGCCAATATGGGATGGAAAGTGTACCACCAAGTAGGAGACTTGGCTTTTCCCCAAGTCCCCCAAAGTCAGGAATTTTAATTTGCAGATCATCATTTTTAAAAAAAGCTTACTATGGATTTCTATAGGTGATTAAATGACGGTAGAACTAGCATGACTCACTGATGTATTTTGGCCCTAACCCCATCCAATTTTTTTTTAAATTTCATCAAAGATAGTTGTGGTCCTTCATCTTCATTGCACAAATACAACTGACTGAGGTGAGGGAAATTTAAAATATGTGGTTCCCATAGTAGAGATAGGAAATAATAGTCTATGATCAGTTATGCAGATGCTTCAGTTATAGAATTAAGGCTTGTACCCATTTATAAGATGTTTCTTAATATGGGGGAAAAGGTGAATTAGATATCCCCATACACAGCTAGAAAATTTGCAACAATTCTTCAAGCCATTATCTTATAACACTAGCAGTAGTCTGTAAAAAAGAAATTTTGTTGGAGAAATTCCCCCCAAATTGAAATAAAAAGATATCAGCGTGTTTAAAGATATCAATATATTTAAAATTACAATGTGGACCTAAGCAGAATCACATCCTTCTAAACCCATTTAAACCAGGGTATAACTTGGCTGAAGATCACGCTGTGAATTAGAGATGGGCAAAAACTGCAAAAATGCAGTCCATTTCAATTCATGGTTTGTGGCTGAAACTCAAACTAAACCCTGAACTGAACTGCCTGGTCCCCTCTGCTCAGCTGTTTCAGGCTTTCTTGTGCAGGGACTGCACAAGAAAGCCCCAAACAGCTGTGTGGCGGGGAGCAGAAAGCAGGGGTTTAAAGGGTGAGTCCCGCTCTCTTGTGCAGGGACTACACAAGAAAGCCCCAAACAGCTGTGTGGCGGGGAGCAGAAAGCAGGGGTTTAAAGGGTGAGTCCCTTTAACCCCCTGCTTTCTGCTTTACCCATGAACCACCATGAACTACCACAAACTGCTTTGAAAGTTCATGGAAGTTTGTGACAGTAGACTTATCACAAACTTTGGCTCATGAACCAAAAATGGGGCAAAATTCATGATGAATTTTACTTCTTGGTTCAGTTTGTGTCCATCCTTACAGTTAATCAACTAAACTGGGATAGAATGCATGGTTGAGAAACCTGTGCAAAATGGTTCCTTATGAATTCTGGGAAAACTACATTTTTTCTCCACATGAGATAATTGACAGGGTAGACTTTTACTTGGTCTGTTAGACTAGTTTTTTGCCGCGTGGTTTCGGCAGGAAGCCTCGTTTGAGCCACGGGAGTGCTACACTTCCCAGATGTGCCGGTGAGATCGCGCCCCGAAAACCCGCATGTCTTCCGTCTGACTCGCATGGCTAATGTTCCGTGTGACCGCAGCCAGGGTAGACTTTTACTTGGTCTGTTAGGACACATGCCATCTAAGAAAGTTTATGTAACTATTGATGCAATTTCAAAAATACCAACATCAATGAACCCCTACAAATGACATAGCTAACAACCAGCAAGAGGTAAAACTACCTATTTACTTGTTGTTGTTGTTTAAAGTCCCCCTAAGGGGAGATTTTTATTGAATGTTTTTAATAGACTACAAACTATAACAGAAAATTAGGAAGGAGAAAGGAAAGAAAACCACTAATAACTAAAACCCCAAGAATAGGAGATCATAACAGCTTATATAAATGTTATTCTTAATTGCCAGTATTACTTTGAACATAGTCGGTTATGCTAAATTATTTATCTTTTTATCCATCAATTTATCTGTTTAAAAAACCCTCTGGAGCAACCCATAGTTAGTGTAAAAATTTCAGGCACAATTCAGAGTCCTCCAGCCTTTATTTTGTTTTATCTTTTCTAATCCTCAATTTGTATGGACTTTTGGGGGCGGCCTCCCATTTTTCAGAGAGAGAGTTCTCATTGGAAGACACCAAGTCCAGTTCGTCATCAGAATTGCTGTCATCTTCTTTCCTCTCACCCCCAGCTGCCTCCCCCAGCTGCACTCTCAGGAACTCAAGTGCTTTGGAAACAGAATCTTTTCTTTTTTTATCATGGAGTTTGAAAATAATGACTTCTGGAATTAACCATCTGTAACTAATGCCATTTGTTTGTAGAAAGAGGATTAAATCTTTTTATTTATTTCTATTTTGTTTTATTTCAAATGGGATATCTTTTAGAATCCTGATGGAATTGTCCCCAATTTTCAAGGGTGTTCCAGTAGTTGCTTCAGGATAGAATCCCTCACATGCCTCTTCGAGAGTCTGACTATTATTTCCTCAGGCAGATTATTCTTCTTGATGTATATGGAGTAGGGCCTATTTACTTGTTTTTGATAACAACCTACGCTCCCATTTCAAATGCCTTTAAACCAAAAGGGTTTTCGAAGCTTCACAAGAAAGGGAATAGTGACATCTCTGTTACAATGTCACTGGAAATAAATCCCTGTTAATTCTATATCTTTGTTTCATCTTACATTTCCTGTGAATCTTAAACAGGATCAAGCAAAGAATTTAACAAATACTCCAATGAGGTGAGAAAGTCATGATAAAAAAACCTTCCACCTGTGGAAATTATTGGTAGATCCAAGACATAAAAAACTATAGTCATGACTTTCCTCACAAAGTAGTAAAATTACCTTGGAGACCTAAATTGTTGCTATAGATTTTGTAAATAATTACTGAGGGACTCATGTAGAAACTGAGAAACAAAATGTGCCAAGGACACATTGGACATTGTTGATCATGTATACAATGCATAGGACAGAGGTGCTGAACTCATTTGTTATGAGGGCCGGATCTGACATAAATGTCACTCTGTTGGGCAAAGCGATGTGCTGGGCTTTCCATAGAGGAGGGAGGCCTGGCCACCAAGTCACATGCCTGGTGGCAGGACTTGGCCTCCGGTGTGTGGAAGAAACTGCCAAAGAATGCCCGGCCATGGCTTGGGGGGGGGGCATGAATATGGTGGTGGAGGTGGCTGCCAGCAGGTCCCAACAGAGGATTGTTTGCATCCTCCATGTGAAAATGCTGATCCCTGCAGCCATCCAGGACAGCAACCCTGGAGATGCAGGTTGAGGGGAGAGGGGTGAATGCAGCTCCAATGGCTCCCAAGTTACCAGTGAGGCCGTCCCTGAAGTGGAGTTCTGCTTAACTGCTGCAGATGAGGTTTCCTGCCTTGCTGAAGCCACATTTGGAGTGGCTCCCCCACCCCCCGAGCAGCCTCCTGTTTCCTCCCTTGCACCAGTAGCTCATGGGCTGCATAAGTGCCCTTGACGGGCCAGTTCTATCCCCTAGGCCTTATGTTTGTCACCCCTGGATTGGGAGATGTGCAGTACTCACCATTATTAAATCGAGAAGACCCTATATTAAAAGAAAAGAAAAAAATAGTTATTCTTCATGTTTATTAATAACTCTTGAAAATTTTGCTTATTGTTCAATATATACCTAGACTTTTACCCTGTTCCCTAACACTGTTCATACTCAGGTTTTCCAAATTAAACTTTTAATTTAAGACCATTTAATTCTATATTAAACATCATTGATGTTAGAAGCAGGGGTCATTTCGTAGAAAAAGAGCTGCAGGAGCTCATTAGCATAACTTATTAGCATATGACACACACCCTGACATCACCGGAAGTGTGCACCAGCCCCTCTGACAGGCAGAAGCACCTGGGATCCATTATTTTTCCCCTCTCCCTTCCCTTCCCCTCCAAATCGGGCAAAGGAAAAGGGGAGGGAGAGGATCTCAGGCGCTTCTGCCTGACAGACATGCTGGCATGCGCACAGCCAGACTGGGTGAATTATAGAATCATAGACTCATAGAGTGGGAAGGGACCTCCAGGGTTATCTAGTCCAACTCCCGGCACAATGCAGGAAATTCACCAATACCCCCCACACACCCCAGTGACCCCTGTTCCACGCCCAGAATATGATTTAAAAAAAAAAAAACCTCCAGGATCACTGGGGGCCAAACTGGCCTGGAGAAAAATTGCTTCCTGGCCCCAAAGTGGCGATCAGCATTTCCCTGGGCGTGTAAGAAAGGGCCACAAGAACTAAGCACTGATGCAACCCTTCCTGCTCTACCTCTTGTGATTTGTCTAAGTTCACACAATCAG